TAAGGTGCTGGACACTCCCACATGGCTGACCATGGTTCAAGTTCTGAACCTGGTGGCTTGCTTTCTCACTTTCCTCTCTCTCTCTCTGTCTCTCTCTGGTCAAATTAAAATGAATAAATAAATAATAAATCTTAAAAAAAAAAAAAAGAGGACACCCTTAAGTATATGTTCAATAATCATGAGAGATTATCAACCTCCCCTTGAGCTCTCTTGGTTGTATTTATGTTCAACATTTATGCTCCACCAAAAATCAAAGTAGAACAACAATAAAAAGAGGAATTTCTGCGTCACTAGATTTTAAGAATGAAACCATTGTCTATTCAGTTCTTTTCAGCAGCCTAAGATGACACCTCTCATTTGATACCCCTCAAAGCATTTTAGGACTACCCTATAATCTAAGGTGTGTCTATTTTACTAATAGATACTTTTTATTCAATATCTACTATAAGCTTGGCAATGTTGTACCCCATTTCTTGTGCTTTATAACTTTTTTGGTTTGAGTGTTGATCACATTGTAGATGAGAAAATCAAGACTTAGAAAGGTAGTTTCACGTGTTCAGGAGCAGAAGCTAGTTAAAGACAGTTAAAGGCTTATAGGACCGAGGACTAGAGATGTGAGTTCTACACTAATTCAATCCAGACCATTGGCTTTTGTCCACAGACCAGTGTCCACAGAGGTCTATGCTACCATGAGTTTAACCTTTTCATTCAAGGCAGTCCCACTGTGGAGAGATCATGGACGTCCTAGTATTTGGTAGGAATTATCCTGACGTCTGTCAGCTCAGGCCTCAACAAAATTTCCCTGTGAGCCCAGGCACTCAGCTTTTGCTGGACAAAGCAGGCAGTGGGGCCTGTGTTTGCAGACGGAAGCTCGCCCTTTGCAGCTGACAGGGCTGATTGCCTGCAATTTGCAAGGCCCCAAAGAACACCAGAGTGTGACGACAGCCCACGAGCCAGCTTGCGCCATTGATCCAGTCAGGGCTGTCATCATAGCTGGCGGCCGTCTGCACAGTGACAGACACCTGAGTCAAATAGCAAGTCATCCTGTGAGGCTGGGCTAATGTGGCCTGTGAAAACAGTATCTTAATTGGGTTTGAAAGCTCTTGAGAAGAAAAGCAAGATTCTCGCCGTGTACAAGGTGATGCTTGAGACAAGTAGAAGATGAAAGAACGTGTCTGCTCCCAGCCTCGGCAGCTCCCAGCACAGATCTCCCAGCACTCCCTCCTGCCCCCTGAACGGGCTTGCCATGGCAACCTTTGTCTGCCATGATCACACAAAGGCATCATTACCGCCCTCTCCACGAGGCCGCCACCCTCCCTCCTCTGCCCTCAGCAAAGATCTGCTCTCAACAAAGTGCAGAGGGGGTCACTGGACTTCGTGGTCGAGTTTGCCACAGTGCACTGGCGGTGTGGGAGCACTGAATCCCAGATGCTCTCCTGCCAGCTTGTTTCTTTGGTTTAAAAAATATATATATTATCAGTTTTCGTTCCCTGAAGGAGGGGACTTTTCTCTCAGAACATGGGCAGCGCCTAATAGAAAGCCCACAGGCAAGTGGCAAAGAGATCCAAAGGCTTTCATTAGAATGTGGTCCAGAGAAGGAGTCTTTGACTTCCAAGGCTTCCCACACAGGGAGAGTTACAATGTAATGAGTGCTGAGGAGGAGAGCCCAAGCTCTCCCTTACATAAGCTTCTCATGGTACATATATTTTAATTGCTAGTGTGTGCACTCATCAGAGACAGAGAGAGAGGAAGAAAGCACCCCCAATGGGGCATGGCCATGCCACAGTCACTTCTTCATTTCTCTGTCCAGTCAGGATTGGGAACACACACACACACACACACACACACACACACACACACTCCAGATGTGCTTTTCAAGTCAGCAGGGTCAAGATTTGAATTACAGTCAGCTGTATGGAATCTCGCTCCCTACCCACTAAGTTTCAGGGCTGACCCCCTTTGTACATTTTTACTGAGAATTCATGAGTCAATGGACTGACCCATGACAAACCAACTGGAGGTGAGGAGAAACTAGAGGAAATCTGGCCTGTGGGGGGAATGGTGGGGAGCCCAGCAGTACAAGATGCAGAGCCTGCCCCCCAGGGAGCTTGGGTATCCTGGGATAGCTAGCTGACTTAGCTTTGTCAACCCTGTTCCTTTAACCTGGTCTAAAATCACATCCGAATCATTGTTCATGAAAATATAGCCTGAAGGAAATGTAATATCCATTTTAGATGCTGAATTAAGAAGACTGTGATGGGGCCAGCAGGTGGCGTGGCCGTTAAAGGTGCTGGACTCCCACAGGACTGACTGCGGTTTGAGTCCTGGACCTGGTGCCTTGCTTTCTCACTCCCCCTTTCTCTCTCTCATCCTGTCCCTGTCTGGTCAAATTAAAATAAATAAATAAAGTTGCATAAAATGATTCTTTATTAAAAAAGAAGATGAGGTCTGGGTATCTATGTAGCTTAACCCATACGTTAGAGCTCTGGAAACAAAATAAATGTCCTTCTTTCAGTATTACTCATCTCCCGAAAAGATGAGAATTAGCTCAAAAGAATAAGTAAAGCAGATGAATGGTCAAGTCAAATGGGAAATTGGGATGGATGAAGGGAGGATAAAAAGTTAATGGAAGAAATGAGCATTTCTACTTAATTATTTTATGTGATGTCATCCCTCAGTATGCACGGGAGATTGGTCCCAGGATCCATACCTTGCATGACACCAAAATTCACATCCAAGGATGCTCAAGTCCCTTATAGAAAATGGCATGATATTTGTGTATAACCTATGCATGTCTTTCATCCACTCCCAGACTCAAAGCAGTGGATTTGGAACTGTTTACTGTTTTGATTAAATAATTTGTTGTAATCAGTTTTATCCATTTGCTAGGGCCTCCATAATAAAAGACCACGGACTGGGTGGTGGGTGGACTAAACAGCAAAAATGCGTTTTTTCATAGTTTTGGAGACTAGAAGCCCATGGTCAAGGTGTCAGCAGGGTGGGTTTCTCCCGAGGCCTCTCCCCTGTTTCCTCAGGTGGTCTTCCTCTGCATATGCACATGCCTGAGGTCTAAGCTTCCTCTTCTCATCAAGACACAAGTTGAGGGGTAAGGGTTCACCCTAAAGAACTTTTTAACTTATCTTTTTTTTTTTTTTTTTTTTTTTTTTTTTTAGGTTTTTGCCATAGGGAATGTGTGCTCACCAGAGAGAAACAGAGAGAGGGAAAGTGAAAAAAATCACCCCCCAGAGGGGTTGGCCACACTGTAACCCCTTTTCCTCCGTTCTTCTCTGGAGATTTTCGGCACATACATACATGTGCCTGGTATGATTTTCAAGTCACCAGGGACTTGAACCATGGTTGGCTATGTGGGAGTCCAATGTCTTAACCACCACACCATTAACTTATCTTGTAAACACCCAGTCTCAGAATACGATATGGTTGAGGTACTGTGGTTTAAGGCTTCATCCTTTGAACTTTTGGGGGAGATGTAATTTAACCTATAACATTACGGATTGAAAGAAATCCTCTGGGGTGGGTGTGAGGTACAAGGGAAGAAAGCATTTGACAGAAAATTTTAAGTTCTCTGTTGAAAAAGCAGAATTTCATATATATATATATATACACATACATACATATATATGATGGGGACTTGATTAAAATATGAAATATGTAATACATTTAAAAAATAAGTAAATTGTTTTGAGAGATTGTTGCAATAGGGTACACGTGCTCGCCAGAGAGACAGAGCCACCGGGGGAATGGCCACTCTGCCTTCCCTTCTCCTCCAGTCTCCTCTCAGGATCTTGAGCACGCACACACACACACTCAGCATGAGTTTTAATTTGCTGGGCCCAGGACCCAAACTGCAGTCGACTACGTGGGAGTCCAGCAATGTAACCATTATGCCATCTGCTGGTTCCCAGTAAATAAATTAGAAAAAAAAATCCTTCAAGGCCTCTTGGAGGAAAATGCACTCCCAGTTCGTAGATAAATACTAATTGCTCTGAGTAACTCTAAGCATGGAGCCACTGGGCCAGCGTCCTCCTCCGATAAAGATTTGAACAGAAGTTCCTGGGCCAGGGTAGGAGGAGTCCAGGAAACAATGCCTGCACAGTAGGACTCACAAGACCTGGTGCGTGCTAAGTGCTCAGAAATGTTAGCTATTTATTGTCTCCTTTATGTAGGGGACCAGGGGGAAGTGGAGGCAGATTTTGTATTTTTGACAGGGTCTTCGTGCTGTGTTGCAATCCTCTAACCCCAGCATCCCAATTAGCTCGAATACAGGCACATACAACCACACCCAGTGTGTTCAAGTTGGCCTGGGAACCGAACTCAGGTCTCATGAAGCTCAGTCTTTGCAAGTGGTGATGCTACCTGCGCATGCCCACAGCTGGCCCCGCTAGCTATAACTGCTACACACAGTAGGCAAAGCAATGTCAGATGGGTTTTATGAGCTGAGAGGGTAGTTGCAGGTGCAGTTATCCCTGTGCAGTCAGGAGTGAGCTTGGAAACGTCACATTCATCTCTTAAGAAAAATACAGACATAAAATGGTATGTCTCCGGAAGTTCGGACCCTGATTCCTATGCTGTGTGTTGAAGTTGATTCTCGTCCTTTCTCTTGAATGTAGGGGAGTGCAAGTGAGGCCACTCTGATGGCTCTACTGGCCGCTCGGACCAAAGCGATTCAGAGGCTGCAGGCGGCCTCGCCGGCACTGACACAGGCCGCCATTCTGGAGAAGCTGGTGGCCTATGCGTCCGACCAGGTGAGTGTAGGGGTATGGGCCCCACGCCCCACCAACCTCAGGCCTGAACTTTGTTTTGTTTTGTTTTGTTTGATTTTCAGTTTTTGCTGTAGGATGTATGAACTTGCCAGAAAGAGACACACACAGAGAGAGAGAGAGAGAGAGAGAGAGAGGAAACTCGCTGAAGGAGGATGGCCATGCTGCACTTCCTTTTCATCCACTCTCCTCTCAGGATTTTGGGCATGCATGCACGTATGCCCGGTGTGATTTTTCAAGCTGCCAGGTCCAGAACCCTAACCACCGAGTCAGTTATGTGGGATCCAGCTGCCTTAACCACCGTGCCACCTGCTGCTCCAGTGTTTCGTTTTATGTCAAATTCGAACAAAGCAAAACAAACCCATGCAGCATCATTTCAAATCCAGGAGCAGCCCCTTGATAGAGATAGAGAGCTGCACTTATCGGAAGGGTAGATTCAGGTCGGAACTGGAGCGATCAATCTAAAAAGAGAACTGTTCTGACAGACTGCACGACCAGCCCCTTGCCATTTCTCCTAGGAGGACTGAGGCTGGGGTCAGCTGGCCAGCCCTCAGAGAGCTCTGTGAGAACATCGAGTCCAAGCCCGTATCCTGGCTCTGCTATGTCATGTGATAACAGGCCCCTGGATGGTGTCAACCCAGAGACAGTGATGGAGAAGGCTGCATGGCGGAGGGTTGCCTTGCTGGGTTGCCCAAGGAGGGTGGATCTGCCATTCAGTGCTGGTGCCTTGCCTTTGGGGTCTCTCTTCAGACACCATTTGCGAGCTTGGCTACCAAGCTGCCCAGGGCCCTTCAGGAAGAGCCAGGGCCTGAATTTGAACCTGTGCTTTCTTGGTTTGCCTCTGAGCAGTGTTCTCCAGGGCCTCTCAAGTCACTCATTTTGAAGAGAAAGAGTCACTCCCAATAAGGTCCTCATGCCATAATCCACCCCTAGTGCCAGCCAGCATCACAGGCATGCACATGCGTGCCTGGTACGTACAGAGAGAACTCAGGATGCAAACCTGGGACCTCCTTCCCATGTGCCTCAGCATCGCAGTAACACATCGTGTTTCTGCTGCACACTCCCGCAGAGCTTGCCACTTGCTCATGAATTCAAATGAATGAATGAAAATCCTCACCACTACTGCCCCAAGGTGCTTGATTCCCTAATAGTGTTTGTTCCCTAATAGTGCTTGATTCATTAAGCTTAAAATAGAGATTCCATATGAGTTGAAATAGCTCCAAGAAAAGGGATGTTCCTGAAGGTGTGGAGAAGAGAGAGAAAAGAGATCAGCTTGGCCACCACCGTGTGCAAAAGGACCCAGTGTCTGGTGGGTGCTCTCTGCAGAGAGGGAGGCATATGAGGGTGGTAGGAACACCCCCACACAAACCCAACTCTGCTGCTATTTTTCAGGCACACTCCTCAGTGGAAAGAGCTGGCTTAATTGGTGGAGTGAAGTTGAAAGCCATCCCTTCAGATGGCAGCTTTGCCATGCGAGCGTCTGCCCTGCAGGAGGCACTGGAGAGAGACAAGGCAGCTGGCCTCATCCCATTCTTTGTAAGTTCAGCAGCACTTGCTGTGTACGGCACCCTGGGAGTCTCCCAACCTGCTCTGGGGTAGGGCCTGGGAGTCCCGAAGCCACATTTAAGGGTGGTGTGATGGTTGTAGGCCTGGTGACACATACGTTGTCTCCTTGAGGAAGGCTGGAGAAAGATGGTTTCTTTATTTCTATATACTTTTTTTTAATTGCCAGAGGGTATGTACACGCACCTGTGAGAACAAGCAAGCACCCCCGCCCCCAGTGGGGCTTGCTTACACCACAATCCCTTCTCCCCCATTTCTCCATCCTGTCCTAAATTTTGGACATGCATACCCACATACCCAACATGTTTTTATTTTCTCTCTCTCTCTCTTTTTTTTTTTGAGAGATGTTTTCTATAGGGCACATGTGCTTGCCAGAAAGACAGAGAGAGACAGAGAGACAAAAAGCAAGAACTCACCCCCCAGGGGGGATGGCCATGCCGCATTCCCTTCTCCTCCATTCTCCTCTCAGGAGAGGAGTGTGTGTGTGTGTGGTTTCTGTGTTCAAACTTTTTTTACTTTCCTAAGCTTTTTTGCAACATGGTCATTTGTGCTTTTTAGAAATACTATAAATTTATCTCTGCATCTTAGTATACAATCATTTAGAAATATTTCAGAATTTGAAAACAACACAAATGAGCTACCTTCATTCTATATATTTTAATCTCAGAAAGAAAGAACCAGAATATTTCAGCCTAGAGGAGTCTGTAAAGCCAAGGAGACTTGTTTCTGCTTCCTGTTGAAGGGACACCCTATGATTATCCTTTGACGGCCTCCGTGCAATGGCAGATGCTCTCTGCATTGCGGAATGTGTGATGAGTGAAGCAAATGAAAAAACAAGATACAAGAGGCCTCGCTGTCCAGATCAGTTGCTCTCAGTCGTTACTAAGGTGCCTCGTTTGTGAGAAGCGTGTTGTAAACAAGCAGATACTAACCATAGATCAAATATCTACCTGACCAGTTAGGACGCTGGTTCTCTTGTACAGATAAGCATTTGGGTTGGGGAATACTTGGCTTTGCAACTAGCACGTGGCAACCCCCACTGGCCATGGCAGAATGCGGTGTTTGGGACGATACATCATGAGATGGCCATTAAAATGTGATCATGGTGTTCCCCGGGGTATTCAGCCTGACTCCACATTAGCATCACCAGGGGACCTTTGAAAATACACCAATGCTCAGGACTAATTCCTGATTCATTTTGCCGGAATCTCTAGGGATGTAGCCAGGTACGGGCAACATGTTGCCAAAACTTCAAGATTCTTAACGTATATCTGGAACTGAGAAATGGGTTCTCATGGATGCTCAGCATCTGGGCATTCCTCTTTTTTTGTAAATTTATTTATTTACTGTGTGTGAGAGAGAAACAGAGAGACACATCCCCAACAGGGTTTGCATGCTTCAATCCACATCTAGTCCCAGCCAGCCCAAATCGAGGTACATGTACTTGGACAAGTTGTGCTCAGGGAAGACCCGGGACCCAGACCCACGACCTTTCCCATGTGAGTCCAATGGTGTTACTGCTGCCCCACTTGGACCCTGGGCATTTTCTTTATCTTTTTCTCTCTCTACCTACCTTCCTTCCTTCCTTCCTTCCTTCCTTCCTTCCTTCCTTCCTTCCTTTCTTTTTTTGTTTTCTTTCTTCCTTTCATTTTTTTTTTAAGGTTTTTGTTATAGGATGTATGCACTTGCTGGAGAAAGACAGAGAGAGTCAATGAGAGGGAAAGTGAGAAGTCATCCCCCCACTCTGCTGCCCTCAGGGGAGATGGTCATGCCTCCATCCCTTCTCCTGGAGACTCCTGGGGTTTTGGCCATGCACGCACATGGCCCCAGCATGATTTTTAAGCTACCAGGTCCAGGGTTTGAATTGCATTTGGCCATGTGGGAGTCCAATACTTTAACCACTACACTATCTGCTGGGCATTTCTTAATTGTTAGAACAATCTACACTGGGTATTTGTATGGGCCACATGCTAATAACATCCACTACTTTTCATTTAAAAATTAGTCCTTGAGGAGAAGTCTGTATAGATTTTTTTTTGATTTTTTTTTTTTAGGTTTTTGTTACAGGACATGTGTGCTTGGTAGAGAAAGAGAGAGAGAAGTGTCTGGCATGATTTCGAGCCAGACTAACTCTGAGACTCAAAATGTTGAGGGTGATTTCTCACTTTCCCTCTCACTGTCTCTCTGCCACTCTCCGGCAAGTGCACACACCTTAAAGCAAAAAATCCTTAAGAAAAATTATGGAACTTACAAATAAGAAGACAAATTCTGGTAAGAACTACTTATAGCATATATTACAAAGTATATTTTACAGTAAAAAGAAGGCTTACATATCAAAAGGCAAAAGGCAAAAGGCAGCATTCCAATGGGAGAAAAACATGAAAAGTCAATTCCAAATGTAATCATAAATACCCAGTAAAAGCAGTTCTCATCTTCTAATAACCAAAGAAATGTAAATCAGTTGCTCAGAGAAGTATGTTAAAATCTCACGTTATGGGGCCAGCAGGTGGCATAGAGGCTAAGGTGCTGGATCCCACAAGGCCAGCTACATGATTCAAGTCGTGACTCGGTGTCTTGAAAATCCCGTCAGGCACATATGCATGTGTGCCCCAAATCCCAAGAGGAGATTGGAGAAGAGATTGCGGTTTACAACACGGCCATCTCCCCTGGAGGGTGATTTCTAACTCCCCATCCCCCTTGGAGAGCACACAGTCCCCACAGAAAAACTAAAGCAAAACAAAAATCAAACAAAATCTCACACTAGAATTATAGATATATCTATTTCTACTTTTATGTCTGTCGGATTTTAGATATGTTCTGAAACTTAGGGATTGGGTGCATGCAGATTCAGAATTGCTAGTTTTTCCTGGTGAAAGACAGTATATCACTAGAAAAAGCGCTCTTTATCTTCAGGAATAGTTCTTGTCCTGTGGACTACTTCATCCAGCATCACTAGGATTCATTTATTTTCTTTCAGGTAGAGATTGTGTGATATATATTTTTCATTCTTTTACTTTCAACTTGCCTGATCTCTTATACTTGAAGTATGTCCTGTGAGAGCAGCATAAAATTATTTCCTATTTTAAAATTTATTTTTAAATCCATAACCATTGTTACCCATTTGTACATTTACACTTAATTATTAACACATTTAAATGTTATCAACCATCTTTCTATTTGTTTCATCTATTATGATTTTTTTCCCTCTATTTTCTTGACTTTTCCTGTATGAAGTGTTTATATCATTAGGTTGTCAAGAAAGTCATGAAGTATTTTTCTATGCTTTTCTATGCAAAAATGCATCATGACTTCCTGATGATCTAATATTTCATTTTCTTTATTTTTAGCTTATTAGTTATGTATTCTCTTATCCTTCCATCACCTTGTATGTTATTAGTATCATCTATTTTAATTCTACATATGCTTAGCACTTGATGAGACATCGATGATGTTTTATATTGGCAATATATATTGAGATAAGTCTATGTTTCTCTCTCCATTGATTTTCATTTCATTCCTTTATTATTTCTATGTGACACTCTTTTCTTCTGTCTGAAAAATTCCCTTTAGAAATTATCTTTGTATAAATCTAGTACAATAAATTACCTCAACTTTGTTTTTCAAAAAATGTCTTTCTTTTGTCTTCACTTTTGAAAGAATTTTTGCTGGGTATAGAATTCTAGGGTTGTAGCTATTTTATTTTGGTACTTTAAATACAAGTGTATTGATCTCTTTCTTTCTTTCTTATTTTTTTGGAGAGGTTTTTGCCATAGGGCACATGCGCTCGCCAGAAAGACAGAGAGAGACAGAAAGCAAGAAATCACCCCCAGGTGGGATGGCCACGCCGCAATCCCTTCTCCTCCATTCTCCTCTCAGGATCTTGGGTGCATGCAGCATGAGTTTTAAGCCACCGGGTCCGGGACGTGAACCACAGTTGACTTATATGGGAGGCCAGTGACATAGCCATTATGCTAACTACTGGTCCCAACCTCTTTCTTTTATGACTTCTGTTGAGATCATCTGTCAGTCCTAATATTGTTTTTACAAAGATAATGAGACAATGTTATTCCTACCTTCCTTCAGCCCCTGGTTGCTTATAGTATATGCTTTTTGACTTTGTTTTAGGCAGTTTTACTACAATGTAAGAAAAATTGTTTTGTTTGTATTTATTCTGCTTGAGTTTCACAGAACTTCTTGATTCTCTAATTTAGTGTCTTTCATCAGTTTTAAAAAATTCTCAACCCATTGTCTTTTCAGTATTTGCTTCTGTTCACTTCCTCCCTCCTACCATTCTGGGACTCGATTATGCATATGTTTGGTCTTTCCATAGAGTGCCAAATATCTCTTATACTCCTTTATATGTTTTTATCTCCAAGCTTTCATCTGACCTATTTACTCTTTACCAATGATCTCTTTAACTATGATCACCTCATAAATAAATTTGTAGTGTCCTTAATTTTAAATATTAAAAATTAAAATTTTTACTTTGGAATAGTTATAGATTCACAGAAAATTACAAAGCTAGTATACACAGATCCTGTACCTTTTGTTGTTTCTCCCCAATTGTTGTAACTTACATAAATGTAGTACAATGTCAAATAACTGGTACCTCAGTCAGAATACTGAAATATTCTGTCACCACAAAGATCCATCTCATACTGCCCCTTTATCATCATCACTCACACTCTTCTCATCTCCCACTGTCCCTAACCTCTGGTGATCACTAATTCTGTTTTTACCTCTACACTCTTGTCATTTTGAAAATGTCGTACAAATGGAATTATACAGATTGTGACTTTTCAAGACCACCTTTTTTCATTGACATGGTGCCCTTGAGATACACCCAAGTTGTTTCATGTATCAATAGTTTGCTCCTTTTTATTGCTGTACCTTAGTGAGTTGGTATCAGATTAGCTGTACCATGGTTTGTTTGGTGACTTAGAGGACATTTTAGTTATTCCCATTTTTTGGCT